TAGGAAATAAATATACAAAGAAAGTTTTGAAATGAAAGTTTTGAGAAATATGAAAATAAACAAACACCCATGCTGGCGCCACAGTAAGACACGATTTAGAAAATGTCAAAAATCATCATTTCACTTCTTGTATTACTTTGTAGCAAGGTGGAAAGATGGGGGGGGGGGGTAATTGTCAAAAATAAATAAAAAACTCAAAATATTTAAACATTATGAAATTTCTGAATAATAAATGAGGACAAATATAAACATTAAACTTTCAATTTTATAAAAAAAATACAAACACGATTTATCGAAACAATTTAACCAATCATTTTTATTTTCGTTTTGACCTTATGAATTAGATCTTATGTCAGAATAAAATTTCAGCAAAACTTCTATAAAATAAAGAAATACATCCAGTCGTCTTCTTCTATATATATACTTTGCTTGTCTGTCTGTCTGTTCGTTTGTCCGTTTGTATTCAAAAAACTGATCCGGCCCAAATTTTGTGTGGGACCTCACCTGACTCCAGGGAATATTTATGAATGCTTAGTTTTTAAAATTTGTCTCCAAAAGTTTTGATTTTCGTTAAATTTTGAAAATCCGCTATTAAAATGTTCCATCGAATAGAAAATGCTGAAAGATTGAGCAACTATTAAAAGTTGAAATAGTATCGAAGTCAAATACTTCATTACATTATGTCGACACAGGGATTCAAAGGTTGCAAGCTCTCTAGCAAAAAATCGATTTGAATCTTGTCAATTTCTTCTTAAACTGAAGTTATATTGGCTTTTAGTTCTATGCATGCTTAGATCTATAGGAGATATCATATGAGTGAGTTGGCCAAAGCGACATTTAAAAGTAGACCCAGTCTTAAAAATCATGTTTTGTGGGACACCCTGTACATTATACGTGCATAGGATATATGCATACCACTATACTAAAACATAATCAACAAACCAAAAGGAACAATCGGTCTGCCACCTGTTCTGAAAAATACGTTCTTTTTCAACAAAATTACTTCAGACATTTTAATCTTCTTATACAGTAAATAATCGATCCGAACAGTAATTATATTCATTACCCAGCTGATTTTAACTGATTAATGTTTTGATAATCTATTGCAGGGGAGGGGTTGGGGGATTAATTGCCCTCCCCTCACCACTGTCCCCATTCAGTATCGATCGATCTCCAAAGTTTAGATGACGTATTGCGTATGAATTGAAATAATGGCGTCTCTCTAAACGTTTCATGCCTCATGAAAAAAATCAATATGTTGGTTCATTGGTTCAATAATTCACTATTAGGGATACTTTTACCTCTAATACCTTTATAAACACACAACCTTGTATCAGTTGAAATTATAATTTAAAGAAAATAAATTTAGTTGTTTTATAGCAAATATCTATTCCATAACAATTTACTCAAGGACCCAAGCTATCTTTCAAGCTATATTCGATTCAATGCTAAATCAACTAGCAAAGATCTACGCTCGCATGTTTCAACGAGAACCAAAGCTTTATGCAAGCTTACTATGCTTCTGATAACTTAATCAAAAGCCGATCTCAATCAACTGATCTATATTTCGTAGTTCATATTATAATTGGGTTATATACAGCTTAATTACAAGTTATGAGCGGTTACTATCGATAACACATTAAATCAAATGTATGGGTATGACGAAGCTATATCTATTTACGAACATTATACCTATTTACGAACATTATATCTATTTACGAACATTAGGCTTTTTGCTAGAATATTACCCTAGGGTACCCACTACCAATGAGTTTCTTCAACTAATGAACAAACTGCGATTTTGAAATACCTTTTTCTTTGCAACCCGATGTTTTAGACCTTAGATATTTCAAAGTATGAATTTCACAAGGTACTAATGAAAGAAAGTTATTGCTGTTGCGTATTCTCTGCGTACATATTAAAACCAGTTCTCTCTGAGCGTTGTTTGTAAACAAGAATAGATGCATCAGTGTTCTTCTAATGTCCGAGGAGTCCGAGGAGGTTTAAAGCATTTAATTTAGATAATTTTGATAATTTACATAATAGTTTTCTATAACCAGAATATTTTATTTATTCTTTATGTGAAAGATGGATCCCATGTCAGGCTGTGACATCCGTCTTGTGTTTACTTCAGAGCCCAGAGACAGTACACTGCAGTACTAAAAATACGTACACCTCTGAAATAATTATCTTTAAGTTATAATTCTTTGAAATAGCCTAAGTTTGAAATATCTAAGGTTTAAGCCATCAGGTTACATATATATGAGTAAATAGCCAAAGTATATAGATAGAAAGAGACCCGAGGAAGTTTTTATCTTCTAAAAAGATGACTCATTTAAACCCCTTAAAGTTAAAAGGGTTGTCAAAGTAATTTAAAGTATATATTCTCTTCAATTACCTAGGAAACATTTGCAGTATACTCACTTGAAATCCAATAGAAAAATCGTTCGTCCAATAAAATCATTTGTTCAGGATTAAAACGATCTTTTTTCCTAAAGTTTGTTTTAAAAAAATTGCTCATTCAAGAAATAAACGATTTAAAAAAATAATTTAGTTAAAAAAAACTTGATCGTTTTTTTCGTTCACTGTATTATTTCCCTGAACGATCTATAGGTGTTCGTTCATCGTTCGTTCATTTCGTTCAGTTTAAAAAGTTAGAGTAAAAGAACAATGTGTCCTTAATAAGTAGCAAGGATGTAAAAAAATAGATTCAAAATTTTTTTGATCAAAACTATTAATCTATTTCTATATTTTAGGTCTTGATTCTAACATATTGTAGCACACTAGCCGAAGTGCCCGGCCTTGCCCTTGGAATTAAAAAAGGTTGAATTTATTTTTTAAAATAATCTTTTTTTTAGGTTACTACGCTTTTAGGGCGCTTCACGTCAATCTTCTATTTCAGTTGTGAACATGTTTTCATTATAACTTTGAAAAACAAAGGATTTCGCGGATTTTATTAAAAATATTTGCGGATTTCCAAGATTTAAAAATCTTTTACAAAAATAAAAAAAACTTTAAACACAAATTTTTATAATTTTGATCATTCATAAACCTTCTCTAGGGTCCCACAACAAATTTGGACCCGATCGGTTCAACCGTTTTGACGTTTATTGGATACAAACAAACAGACACCCAAGCTGCAAGTTTATACATAGATGTTACCCCCAGGGTACTCAAGGGTTCCCTTACAAAATGTCAGCCAATTTCATCCAGCCGTTTGTCTAGCTATAGAAGAGCTTTATTATATAGATTTATCTGATTCAAAAAGGTTGATTCTTTTGGAGTACTGTCTCGTTTTGACATTTATAGTCTGTATGTATACTGGACAATTTTCTTTAGCTTGGGTGCTCATACTCTTTCTCAGTTGGATTCTGTTTTTCCACAAACCCTGATTTTCAAACCCCTTTGCTTTGCAAACTGATGTCGCAGACCTTTGATATTTCAAACAATGAATTCTGTGAGATCAAATAGTCTAAGATTGAAATATCCAAGGTTAGCTCCACCAGGTTCCAAAGATATAAGAATTACAAATTTTGAGGTTAGGTTGTTCTAGTTCCTTCAACCAAAACTTTGTGTAAGGCATTTTTCTTTGAAAGTTTAGAATTATGAAAATCTGTGGTAAATATTGAAACATTGGAAAACATATTTGGTTCGGGTCACTTATCCCAACGCATTTTTTTATCAAGATACAACTGGGCTTTAAATAAATAATTTTACTGCTTTTTGACCAACATTACCAACCCATGATTCCCCCAACAGAGGGACGTTAGGTAACTTTACGTCCCTAGGGACAATCTCGTAAAATAATGGCCCGCTCTGCAAAGTTTTCATAAAAACATCCCTTGGTGCGCTCTGAATGTTTTGTAAGCAAAATTGGTCTTGGGAACCCTTGGTACTGTTAACTTCCCTTAACTTCTCTGTAAAGTAGTTGTAAATAATTATAACTTTTTTGTTTATGTTAAAAATCTCATTTATATTGTGTTATGCGAAAAGTTGGAAATAGTCTATTTTGGCAGTTATACTGCATAAGCATAAAATTATGCTTGAAAAAAAATTCTTGCATATTGTCTTTCACTAGCTGGCCATCATTCATCAATTAAATTTAGCTACGCATCGTAGTACCAGTGCCATGGGAACAGATGAATAATGACTGGAACTTCACAGAGTAGCGAATTTCCATTCAATTCCAACCGAATGGAACTATTCATGATCCTGCCAGAGCTCAAAGCCATAGCACCAATACTACTCAGCATAGTAATATTGCGATGTACGATTTGATTAGAACTATACTCCGTTGAAAATTTCTTATGTCACAATGGACCATTCATTTTCTCACAAATTTATCATTTTCATTAATCTTTAATTGGCAACAATTAAACATGTCTTCCATGACTGAGCCAGTGTTAGAGAATCTATTTATATGAAATGCCGTCTTTTGAAGTCATTTCTATGAAAGAATGACCATTATACTTCCAAAACCAAACTATTTATTTTAAATATGAGTATTCAGTGAACGTAAGTAGTGTTCTCCTGAAATGAAGTTCAAATATAATTTAGTTTTGCATTTAAGTGGCAAATTTTGGAATCAACATTTGAATTTGTGAATCTTTTCTTAAAATTTCCTTTTCACCCTAACAAATTGTTATTATCTAAATTTATATTAAATTATATGATTGTAAAGAATTAAGTTTTTATATTTGTAAACATTAACCAGCCCATTTTTTACCTCTAAGTTAATTATGTCTTTTAAGTAAAACTGTAGATTAAAATGCAAAATACAAAGGAATTGAATTTTTGCCACAAACTCTGATTTTCTAATCTCTATATCTTTGTAACCCAATGTTGTAGACTTTAGATATTTCAAACTATCAAAACTTATAGATAAAATAATCTAAGTCTGAAATATCAAACGTTTGCACCATCAGATTGCAAAGATATTGGGATGAGAAGATTTAAGTTTGTGGCAAAAACTCAATTCCTTTAATATAAACAAAACTATATTTTCAGATTCATAATCTTTATTAAGCAATTGTCTACATCTATTGTACTTAATCTCAATAGTATCCACTTCCATAGTTTCCACTTCCAAAGTCCCCACTACCATAATCCATATTGTCACCCTCATATATCTCGTTATCTTGAAGTCCAAGAGCGTCTGCTCCAATCTCAACCAGCTTCCAAATATATTCATCACCCAGGCAACTATAAAGATGAGTGGCTCTATTCCAGAAATCTGACTGCAATGTTTCCTTATTAAAGCCTATCTCATGATTTCTAGATAATTCAAGTGCTGGGGTGTTGACACCATTGAAGCAGGAATCTTTTACTTTGCCATAGATTCCAAACATTGTAGCATCGTTTGAATAAACAACAGTTGTAAGCATAGGTTGATCTGTTTTATAGCTTCTATACCAAGAAATAGGGTTGCGCATGACCATCAGGGAAATTGGAAAATCAATTATGATTTCGTTGTTTTCTGTATCTACCTTATATGAGAATAAATCTTTACCATTGAGGTTCATATAGGCCACCTCTCCAACATTTATAATTGAGAGTTCATACATGTCTACAATTTTTGATCTCAGGGAAACATAATTTAGACCACCTATTTCAGCCTCTAAATCAATGATGTCGTTAAAGTAAAGTTTATACAAATTAGAGGTTGTCATGCCAAAATCAAGATCGTACAACTTTTCCTCAGTAAGACCATCTGGTGAAAAGATTTGTTGTCTGTAGAAGGTTCTGAAATGTCTGGAACTTGGATTAATGCTTATTAGGTGTGATTGATGAATCTCCTCATAAGTTTTCTCACCCTCATATGTATTGTTGTACATAAAAGTATTATCCAGGCTAAATTCTAAATTTTGTCCAATGTTTATGTTGGCTAGATAACTGTAATTATTATGAAAATCGTAATTTGAAAATAAATGCCAAACATTCAGGCTGTAGTTGTTTCCTTGGAAGCTCACAGTGTTGGTAACAAATCTGAGCAAACTGATGGGATTTCCATTTTCTGTTAATCTGTAGTTGAAATTTTTAGGTTCTCCATCTATTTTTACAACTAACTGACTTGTACTGTTGTCCTTTTCTTTCAATTCAGCCTGTATAATGCAGACATAGTTTTTATGTGAGACAGTAAGCTTACTATTTTCTAAATTTCTCCTTATCACAAGGTCCAATCTTTGAATTCTATTTGTTAACCTAACTCCAGAAATCCTTGTATCCTCGCCACTGTTGTCCAACTCCAAACTAAATTCACTGAAATCTAATCCAAACAATGCAAACCAAATATTGGATGGAATTGAATAAGGCCTTTGAACATTTAAATTAACATCAGATAATTTAAAATTATATAGATTTTCTTGTTTGGAAAGATCTAGATTAAAAACTGGGAATCTGTTTTTTGATATGTAAACATAAGCAGAGTCCTTCTGAAATTTAGCTGTTAAATTACCTTCAGAGAAATATCTGAAATATCTTGGAACATATGGAATAACTGATGCATTGAATGATACTATTGTGTTTAATGAAGCCTCCCAAGGATCACCTCTTATCTTTGATATTTTTGTCTGGAGTGAAAACAATTCTACTCCTATCACTGATCCTTTCATTCTAACAATCCAATTGTTTTCCCGCGGATTGTAGAGAATAAATCCAGACGTTCTTTCTTCCAAATACATTTCAAATCTGTAGTACTCCTTCCATTCCAGATCTCTAGGATGTATCATGATATTTATGAACCTTCCGATGACTTCAAACTCCGGTTCCGTAAGGTCATAATACCTAACAGAAGGGTTATGAGTATACCTTTTAGTGTCTGAACTAAATTGAACTCTTATTTTACCCTCACTTTCATGTATATATCGTCCAATCTGATAAAAAACTTCAAATTCATTTTCTTGATCTTGCTTTTTCTTAATCACTTTCAGCCTCAAGTCAAGTAAAATCTCCACATACCTATAAACTGAAATTCTCATAATGTTAGTGGACTTTTTTAAGTATTCAATTTCACAAGTAAATATTCCGTGTGAAAGTGAAATTTCTATAGAATCATTGTGTTCTTCCAATGTAAGTTCACTTGATGGTAGATCATAACCAAAGGGCAGAAGTTTGTACATAGACTCGTCAACTTTGAATTTTGTTTCTAAACATTGAAAGTTTATCAAAATATCCAACATGGTGTTATCATTTTGATCTTCCATAACTAAAGTAAACGTTACTCCAGGATCCATCTTGGCTTTGATGAAAAACTTTTCATCAAATTCACTTTTTGTTCTCCCAGTCTCCTTAGATCTTTGAACATCAATCTCAAAAGTGCAACTTGTTTTCGTTATTTTGGTATGTTTTAGTTTAAATACTCCTGTTAGATTAGCTTTACTTTCAGGAAAATGAAATTTTATTTTGATGGTAAAATCATTTTCATCTTGGTTGAATTCAACATTTAGTTTGAGAACTTTTCCATGAATACAAGGAAGATGCAGCTTAGCCAGATCATTCACAGTGATATCAGCAATATGTCCTGTACTGTAGTTTTGTAGTTTAATATTGATTCCTAGATTTTCATTATTATATTCTTTTAAGTCTGGTGATCTTTTAACTCGATTAAAAAAAAGAGCTGGTGCAATATTATCTGGATTCAGGAAGGATTTAGCCAACATTAATGATGTGTCTTGGTGGAAGAGTGTAGCACCTATAATTATAACGCCTTGTTTAAAAAGTCTATTTAAAAAATATTCCAGATTGTACCTGTCAATGTCAATGCCATGAAGATCCATGCCAACCTTAAGAAGATGTCCATTTTTTCCAATTTGCAGTCCTTCAGTTTTTCATCCTTAATACTTTAAGAACAAATAGTTTGTGACTTATAATGTTTAATCTCATATTCTCTGTGGCAACTTATGAATTTTAGAATAATGTGCTTTATCTTTCAATTTAAGTCATCACTGCCATGATGTTCCGATCGCATTCACCAAAACAACTAATTGAATCCTTTGGAACATAAAATATTTGAATATCTGCTTGATATCAGGTGTTACAATACCAATGTTGGTGTTAGGTATTTTTCCAAAAAATTTTCCGAAGTGACAATTTGGGAACTTTAAAAATGTGCAATTTACTTTTCGGCAACTTTTAAAGGTTTGGTTAGGCTTCTGAGGGGCAGCTGACTGCAATGAGGGCTGTGTGTTGCAGCAGGGGGCCAAGCTAGAACATTCTAAGAGGCTGAAAGCTGCAGCTAGGACAATCTTGGGAAGTTGCTACTTGGAAAATTGCATAGTTGGGAAGTTGCCACTTGGGAAAAAAACCTTTGGGAAATTACCTAACATCCAAACGTTTAATCTCCGGAAAACACCCATTTGCATTTTGTTTTAAAGTCTTATAAGTTTACTAAGTTTACAAATTATAATCCTAACTTTAAATTTAAGTATTTTTGAAATATCAAATAAAATCCACTGTTTTTTCTCTTACAATTCTTTTTTTTGGAAAAAACAAAAAATCTTAAATGCAAAGATGAGTTTGTGTCAAAAAAGAGTAAAATTGCAAATTAAAAAAGAAATCTAGTAGGTGTATATAAAAAGGGGAAGTATCAATCTTAGTTTGCATGTAAAAAAAGCTTAAAAACGACAATGAAAAATTGTGGAAACAAATATGATATTATGTTATATTGACAAGCTAAAAAGTGAAAAGCTTATCCTTCTATACACGAATAAAGATTCTTAAAGTTAAAAAAAATATTTGAAAAATATTGAACTTACTGATTGAAGTTGTTAAACTTGATTGCAGAAAACTGATACAAGATTCAATCTTTTATTCACTTGTGACATAATCTGGAATACAGGACTAAATATAGTTCGGATAAATCAATCTGACATTTCTAATCTATTAACTATAAATTATATATCACATAATTTTGTAACCATAATTTAATTTTTTTTTATTTATATTACTGCAAAAATATTTTGTTGTTCAAAAATTGGGCAAAGATCAGGGTCTGGGAATTTCAAGTATTTAGATGGACACAATTACAGGACCATAGATAAAGATAGATTGCGCATCAGACGACATTTTTCATCTTGAAAGATATGATGTACAGAGATGTTTTAAAGATATTCATATTATATAGATTAACTAGGGGGGTTGTGAACATTGGCTGCTCTTATGTCATTGAGTACTTGTGATGTACATGAGTTCTGAAGAGAGAAATTTACATTAGTAAAGTCCTTCTCATGTCCTTCTTCAGTTCTCGTCAATATGATATATTGCTCAGTGAAATATTGTTTTTCAAATAGTTCCATTCCCGGAGTTATTTTACACTCTATTATGAAATCCATTAAAACACCAAACCACCCCGCTTATCATTGAAGTACACTTTGACCCCGAGAATTATGAGTTCGTGGACTGTACAATTCTTGGTGATTTTGCGTACATAAGCTATCTATGTTTATTTATTTATCTATGTACAGGACATTTTTTTGTTTCTTTTAAACCAAGCATATGTGTGTGTTACTTTTATGTTCTCTTACGAAATCCTTTAGATAACTATCCATAGTTTCCAGTGACCCGTGACCAAAGAGAATAGAATATATATTAGAGGGGAATTTACTAGAAAAAAGTGTTAAACGGTCATTTTGTAAAACTGTTTCCATACTACAGGTGTACTTCACATATTTGTGCAATATAACCTTTTGGGCCCTGGAACATAATTTTATAGAAATTTTTAAAATTAATATTAAAAAAATACCAAATTATGAAATAAGCTGGTTTCATAATTGACCAATGATCATTTCACATAGACTCTGTGCCTTTCATGCTTTACAAACGATAATTTTCCAATATAATTGTAAATCAAATGATGTTTTTATTCACCTAATTCAATTTATAAAGTTTATTTAACAGCTTTAAAAAATTCAAAATTGTAATGGATAGTCTAGGGAACATGCTGTATTAATATACTCTACTGCATATAATTTGTGAACATTTACATGATTTGTACACTTTGAACTCCATTTCAGGCTGAAAGGGACTGAAAAAATTCATACCGAGGGATTTTCTAAATTCCACTCTAATATATATTCTATTCTCTTTGCACGTGACTAACAGAAATGGCCATGCCCGATTCACAAAGGTACCCTCAAAAGCTTTGTATAATTAATTTTGAATTATGTATCAATGTTTATCATTTTGAAAACTGATTATTTTCAACTGTGGTTTATTTACAAAAGTGACTTGAACATTGTTACTGCAGGAAAACACATATGCATTATTAGAATTAAACACTCTAATACTAGATATCTTTTACGTTATTGATCAGATGAAGGTACCATTGAATATCAGATATTGCCATCTTTACATGGAGGGTTTGTTCTTCTAGTCAATAATCCTTGATTTTAAAATCAACTATCCATTCATAATACTTGGTAATTTTATGATTAACTGTATCCAATATTCGAAAAGCAATCTAAATAGATTTTGCTTTTTATAATTAATTACTATTGATACTTTTGAGTTCCTCTAAATCTTCTTTTAATTGAATGGGAATAGATTTCTTATCAAATCTGAAACTGGAAATCTGTGAGGTAAAAACATTTAAACCAGGGAAAAAATATTCCGCAAGAAAATCTGGTTGTTCTTTTATCAAGCTATGAAGGAAGATGTAATAATTGCACAAACAGCAATCTTTTAAAATATTAACAAAATAATATATAATATATATAATTATATCTCTATATATTCATGCCAATAGATGTATTTTAAATAAAAAAGTATTCTGGACCAATGATATAAGAATAGCCAACAGCCTTTACCAGTTTCTAGTCGGAAATCTGTGGGCTATTCTCGGTGATAAGCTTGAGGACGTCAAACCTCGACTATCTTAAAAAAATCTCTGAAAAAAACCCTCATAACCTCTTGTTAGAGGATCCTCATGAAGACCTCGAAAAACTTGACCCACTATATGCCCAATCAGATACAAGTTTTAAAAAAAGCTAAAGGCAACTTTTCGGTTTTTAAATAATTTTTTTAAAGACACTGGATAGCTTTTCTAACCTGCCAACTATTTTGATCCAACCTATATTTAAAGAAAGAGTTTAGAAAAAATTCAAGGGATTTAAAACTTTTTTTTTGAAAATCTTCAATTTAATAATATTTACATGCTATTTCAGAAGAACTATTCAATGTTCTTACTCTCTCAGAGTTTAAATAATATCTTGATTCTGGTCACCCTGTAATCTAGTTTTATTTTTAGGGTCTGAAATTGGATACAAAGTGCTTAGACCCCTCTCCAAACTGCCTCTCCACCCAGGAATCAACCCACAACCACCTAAGGAAAAGGAAAAAAACTATTGGTAAACTACAGAAAGGAGAAACATTATAAAGGATTAAAGGAGAAGTAGGAAATGGAGGTTTTGAAATATTAAAATATTTGAATATAATTCATACAATGAAAATATAAATAAATAATTGATAACTATAATAGTTAATAAATATGATGATCAATACTATAAAAAAATAAAACTCTCTTAGACAATAGGTATTTCAGATTAAAGTTTTGGAATAGAATTAATTTAAACATTTTGATTTTTACTAGATCATACAGTTCTTTAGTTGTGACTGTTTTTGAGCAGTGCAGCATTCAAATTGGTTGGAGATTTTTTCGAAAATAATCTACCTCCGATTATTTTACTTATCTGGATTGTTTTCATCTATATAGTGGTTGCATGTCTTCTTTTCTCTCTTTAGCTGATGAACCTTGAACAGAAGCTGGACCTTTGGTTGGTCAGTTTTTTAAATTTTATAAAATTCATGCAAAGTTGGGAATACATGGAAAGATATTAAATTGATTTAAATCAGGATAATTCATTGATGATCATTCTTTATATGTGTTGGATAATTTATATTTTAAGTTGGATTGATCCTTCTATTTGCAAACAAATTTTTCCCTTTAGGCATAATCCATATGAATATTTTTTCAGAGGTTACATGCTGAGAATTACATATAGATACCAATATGGAAAAAAATTTATTCAGATTGAACAACTTTGTAAAAAACTCCTTTATTCATTTGACAGCTGTTGCAAAACTAAAAAATGTATGTTTGAAATTCCTGATTTCCTTACTGGGACAGGAGGCAGCATGCATGGTGGCACAACCTGTTATGGTCCTTGAGATGCAAGGGGCGCATTTTCTGTAACAAATTACATTTTTCTGTTGAACCTTCTCTGTTGTCATATTAATATTAAACCTGTTCAGTTGCTATATGCCTTGCTGCAATACTATTAAACCTACTCAATTGTTATGCACCTGGCTACTGTACTATTAATACTACTTGTCTGATATGTTCCTGGCTGCTGTAGTAATAAACCTAATTAGTTGTTATGTACCTGGCTGTTGTAGTATTTAATTTACTTGGTTGATATGTTCCTGACTGCTGTAATAATACGCCTTCTTGTGTATTATATACCTGGCTGCTGCACTATTTATCTTAGTTGGTGGTTACGCACTTAGCTGCTTTACTATTAAGCCTTACTGGTTGTGTTGTACCAGGCTGCTTTACTATTAAACCTTGTGACATTTTTTAAATGAAAATGTCACATATAGATAAGCTAAAATGTATGTTCCTCTCATAAATGTTAGAAAACCTTTAGATATGTATATCCTGATCTCTAAATGTTTAAATTACTGTCTTAGCATAGCAACGAAAAATACAGTTTATTTTATACCATTCATTGCACCATATTTCCAACCCAGACGTCTATATCTTTGTAACCTACTTTCTATCTAAAGCCCAGCTCAGTCAACTAGGCTGCGCGCCAGACCAATCCTTTACCAGCTTTTTACGTACAATTCTGTACCAACCAATGAAACCATGTTTATCAAGGAATTTTGTTATCTTTAGTATTGTATTCTTTATATATATGTGCGCAAATGCAACCCTTTTAGTATAAAAACTATGTGTGTTATATGTATTATCACTCTATAATGGCACTTGACACTGTACACTCTATTCTCTACCTTTGTGAAATATATTCTGACAGATAAAAGTAAGTCTTTTAATATAGTTTTACTTATAGAGTCTATAGTCAGAAATTGTCCATCTTTGAGAGTGTTGAAAAAAGGAATGTTACAGTATTGCAAATCAAATCTCTAGAAACATATCCTGGGAATATTAGCGAAAAATCAGAGTTTTTGAGCTCTCCGCATTGCTTAAGCTTTGTGTTGCTATTGTCTTTACTAAGACAGTTTTTGGGAAAAGTTTCAGAGTAACAACATATGGACTTTTTGGCCTAAAACATTCAAATTTACATCACTCTAAAATTTGGATTCTTTCTGATTATATAAGATATATTTAAGCTTCATTTCTAGTAAAAAATATCACACCTAAAAACCTAGTTTTGTAGCAACCTTCTTGGATGTCCTGTACCTGGCTACTTAGTTGTTATGTACCTAGCTGATATACTAATAAACCTACTTAGTTGTTATGTACCTATCTGATATACTAATAAACCTACTTAGTTGTTATGTACCTATCTGATATACTAATAAACCTACTTAGTTGTTATGTACCTAGCTGATATACTAATAAACCTACTTAGTTGTTATGTACCTAGCTGATATACTAATAAACCTACTTAGTTGTTATGTACCTTGCTGATATACTAATAAACATACTTAATTTTTATATGCATGGCTGCTGTAGTATTAAATCTAAGTAGTAGACCCCTCCACTCATTAGTGTGTGCATGTACCTAGTTACTGTCTATTTACCCTTCTCAGTTTTTATGCTACTATATTGCTGCTTAAAATTTCAAATATATACCTCTGAAAAATCTGAAGGAAAAAGGGGCTATCATGAGAGTTATTGGACTGTAGTGTGGAAGGGGATAATGGACTAACAGAATTAAAAAATAAAAAATTTCCCCAGAAGCATTATTAATACTTAATTCAGCCAAGAAGAGGTAGTTTATAGTTATTATTAAAGGAAGTTTTCAGTTCTTTGAATAAAGATGATAATAGTTCCTTAAACAGGAAAGAACAGTGTCTTCCTGAGTACCAACATCATTTCAATTCAAAGTTCCTTACTCAGTGAGTTGTCAGAAAACTACATTGGTACCCAAGGAGAACACTTTTTCTTACTCTAACTGAAATAATAAATGTTTTAAAGCTGAGTGCAGACTTCAGAACACAAATAAAGCAAGGAAGTTCAGACTTGACTTCCTACTAGAAAGGGAAACCATTCCATAGCTAAGCTAAACTGCCTTGTTACATCAGAAATCCTTTTATGCATTTTACTATTGACTAATGAAATACAGTGTATAATTGAACCCTAAAGTTTAACTAGTTCATTTCTTCTAAAGACAACTTTCCCACTGTTCAGTTTTGCGTGGGTCAGATGATTATATATATATTATCTGATAATTATATATAGATATCAATAATCAATATATATATAAAATTTGCATCAGATGAAACAAGTTTATTTTAATTTCATTTCTTTGATTAAGGACAAATCTATATTAATTACACACTATCCATAGTATCCACTTCCAAAGTCACCGCTTCCAGAATCCATATTATCCTTGTCATAAATCTCTTCATCTTGATGGCTAAGAGTGTCCCCACCAATCTCAACCAGCTTCCAAATATATTCATCACAAGCCAGGCATCTATAGACAATGTTAGGTCCCTCCCAGGCTCCTAACCTCATTGTTCCATTACTAAAGCCTATCTCATGATATCTAGATAATTTAAGTGATGGGGTGCTGTAATCATTGTAGCAGAAATCTTTTACTTTGACATAGATTCCAAACAGTGTAGCATTGTTTGAATACACAGCAGTTGTAAGCACAGGTTGCTCACTTTTATATTTTCTTTTCCAAGAAAATGGGTTGATTATCAGTGAAATTGGAACATCAATCTCAATTTCATAATTATCTGTCTTTCCTGTATCTACCTTATATGAGAACAAATCGTTGCCATTTAGGTTCATGTAGGCCACCTCTCCAACTATTTTAGTTGACAGATCATACTTCTCTAGTATTTTTTATTTCAGGGATATATAGTTTAGACCACCAATTTCAACCTCTAAATCAATGATGCCTTCTAAATATAGCTTAAACAAATGTTCTGTTGTCATCCCAAAATCAAGATCATACACATTTCCCTTATAGTGATGTTTTCCTGTTAAGCTGTTTTCATTCAAGATTTTGAAACGGCCAGAACTTGGGTCAATCTTTAATTCATATACTTGAGGATTAAATAAATAATCTGAACTGATATATTCAAAAGCATGAACCAGCTTAAATTCTAGATTTTGTCTCATGTTCATGAACACTTGATAATATCTGGTTCCTGAATCTATAAATTGCCAGATATTAAGGCTGTAGTCATTTTCTTTTAAGCTCAAGATATTGTTAATGAATCTTAGCAAACTGATTGGATCCCCATTTTCGGTTGTGTTGTAATTGAATATGTGATGCTTTCCATATGTTTTTGCAACAAATATGCATCTAATCATGTCCTCTTCTTTCAATTCAGCAAGTAGATAAACTTTGTTATTTCTAGAGAAAGTAAGTTTGCTTTTTTCTAAATTTCTCCTGATTGTGAAGTCCAGTTTTCTAATGCCATCACTTGATAGCAAAACTCCAGAAACCCTAGAAGATACAACACTGTTGTCCATTTCCAAACTCAATTCACTGATCCTAGAATCTTTTTCGTAACCAACCACCAAATAAAGTAAGGTAATAAAACAGGTTTTTTATCCGGAATTTCAATATTTGACAGTTTGAATCTATATAGATTTTTGTGTTTGGAAAGATCTAAATTTAAAACAGGGGATCCGTTTTTGGATATATAAACAAAAGCAGAATTATTCTTAATCTTAGCTGTGAAATTACCTCTTGAGAATTCTTTGAAATATCTTGGGACATAAGTAACAGAGGAATTTAATGATGCCATTGTGTCTAATAAAACTTCATCTTGAGTGTTTATGTTTTTTGTCTGGAGTGAAAATAATTCTGCTCCTAACACTGATCCTTTTATTCTCAATGTTAGAGAATTATTGTAGCTAAACAATTCATGTGATCTTTCTTCTGCATCAAAATACATTTCAAACTTGCAGTATTCCTTCCAATTCAAATGTCCAGGAAGCATCATGATTTTTATGAAACCCCTGTTGGCGTCAACCATGACAATGACATTGTCTATAGGATCATAATATCTTTGAGTGTCGAAACTAAATCTAACTATTATTTTACCATGACTGTTATATTGTCCACCAAACTGATAAAACACTTCTTACTTATTTTCAAAATTATCTTCTTTTAAAATTGCTTTCAGTCTCAAGTCAAGTAAAATATTCATGCTCTCATAAACTGAAATTCTCATAATGCTGGTGGAATTTTTTAAGTATTCAAGTTTACAAATACAGGTTCCATAAGAAATTGAAGCTTCTATAGAGTCATCATGATCTTCCAATTTCAGTTCAAGTGGTGATAGAGATGATAGATAAGAACTATAGGGCAGCACTAGTGTGTACACAGACTGATCAACTTTGAATTTTGTTTCCAAACTTTGAAAATTTAAGGAAATATCCAACAGGTTCACACTTATGGAGTTCTCCATTGATAAAGAAAAAACTACTCCAGGTTCTATATTTCCACTAAAGTAATACATTTGATTAAACATATCTATGATGCTCCCCTTAAACATCTTGCCAGATAATTGAACATCAACCTCAAAAAAACTATCAAGATATTTCAGGTTTGTGCGACTTGAGTCCATTATTTGGCTATGTTCCAGTTTGAATCCTCCAGTGAGATTATTTCCTTCTGGGAAAAGATATTTTACTTTTATGTTAAGATGGTTTTCATCTTGGTTGAATTCAACATTTAGTTTGAGAACTTTTCCATTAATACAAGGAAGATGCAGCTTAGCCAGATCATTCACAGTGATATCAGCAATATGTCCTGTAGAGGTGTTTGTATTTAAATGTTCTAGTTTAACATTAATTCCAAGATATTCATTATTAAATTCCTCAAAGTTTGGTGATCTTTTGACTCCCTGCAGTGAAAGAGTTTGTGCAATATTATCAGGGTTCAGGAGAGATTTAGCCAACAGTAATGCTGTGTCTTCGTAAAAGGACGTAGCAGCTAAAAATTTAATACTGTCAATAACTCGATACAATAATGGTTAAAATTGTACCTGCTTTTAATGCTATGGCCATAAAGATCCATGCCAACTTTAAAAGGAAGTCCATTATTTGAACTCTCCAATTTCCAATTGGTCTTCACTCTGTAAAGTTTTTTTTTTTAAATTTATAGCATTTTGATACATTATACACCTGTAAAAATAATATTTTTTACTTTGTTCTCCATTCACAAGAGATGTTCAGAAAAGAGAAAAAGTTGTCTAAATTATTGCTTTTCCCCTAAAAAATATTATTACAGTGATTTAGAATCAGGCCAAACTCTTTTTTTATCATGAACAAAAGGAAAAATCTGATGTAATTTTTTCAAATCTTTCCAAGAGACTTTGCATTCTCAAAAAAATAAAAACTTGGTTTGGAGTGCCTTCTCAAGCTTTGCTTGTAGTTACTATGCTATAGAATGAATAAAACATTAAGTTCTTGAAACTTAAAAGGTAGCACATGTTCGGTGGAAATTAGTCAAAAACATTGAAAAAAAAACCTAGAGCCCAACGTGCTACCCTTAAACATGATAAAAACAATCAAACACAGAACAAATGTATTCTGAAAAGTAATGTCTGCAAACCTCTCTATAATCGAAAAAATATTTGGCATGATTCTAAATCCCCCCAGTATATAGAATTAAACTTAGAACTAGATTTAAACTTACTATTTTAGATTGATGAACTTGATTGCTAAAACTTTGAAACAAGATTCATTCTTTTAAATAGCTTTATCAAAATCTGGAATACAGGACTAAATATATTTGGGATAAAATCAATAATACATTTTTTCATAATCAAAAATCTCTGATAGTAACAAACTTCTTTGTTTTTAGCATTTTGTGATCATAAAGTAATCTATCCCTTTTCCATTGCCCATGTTAAAATTTTGCATTTATCATTGCAAATAATTCTTTTTATGAAAATGGGCAGAGGTCAGGGTCTGAGAATTTCATGTATTCTGATTCAGTATAAATTTATGCAAACAGTATTTTGTTGTCTTTATAATGAAATTATCAAAATTCAATTAATAATTTTATTTTCGTCAGTCTTAATTAGGGTTGGGCGTGTTCCTGATTTTTAAAATCGTTTGTTCCTGGTTTATTCTTATTCCAATCGTTCCATCCTCATTCCGTTTGTTCTTTGTGTTCTTGATCTAGAACGGTTCAAATTAATGGATTTGGATGGGTTTAGGGGGGGTCCTTTATTCCATACCATTGATACAATTAACCCTTCAAAGCTAACTTCCTTTTCATCCTATATTCTTTCAACCAGTTTAACTGAATTTCATCATTTGCACATTAATGGGGGATTAAAGGGATTATAAAAATAACAGGATTAAAGGTTTTAACGGAGTTAAGTAAATTAAAGAAACTAACGGGAGCAAATGTGATGATTTCATAGAAATATAAGGAATTAAACAAAAAAAAGGAATTATTGGGATTAAAAAGTATTTATAAAATTTATTTGTTATTCAATAAAATAAAATAGATAAACATCCTCAGATACGGCGTTTCATGAAGTTGCTCCAATCTCATTAAGGTCTTTTTGCAAAATACTTGGAAAAAATACAATGATTTTTTTGAAAATTCACTTAAACGATTAAAGAAATCTATGAAAAGAGAAAAAATACGAGAAAAGTAAAAATAAAAGGTCCAAAATATTATTATAAAAGTAAAAATAAAAGGTCCAAAATATTATTATAAAAGGTCCAAAATATTATTATAAAAGGTCCAAAATATTATTATAAAAGGTCCAAAATATTATTATAAAAGCATGAAAACCTCTTGAAAGAGACGACCACAGTAATCAGCCAACTTCCACTTAAAATTTTCCTTTTTCTCTTTTAGAATTCTGTCAATATCATTCCTTGTCTCCATAACTTTAAGAATAGGGCACCTTTAAGACTTGACAACCTAAAGTTTAAATGGATGGTCACATAAATGAAAATACAAACGACAGTTCCCTTCAGGTTTAAAAGCCTTTACTGTAGGAAGCATGATACAGGGTTACCCACAAAGAATAAGACTGAGTAGATGACCGGAAACTCTTAAAATGTGACGATCCCAAGGTGAAATTATATATTCTGATTAATTAAATGATCTTGCAAATAAAGAAACAATTTCACATTTGCAGGGAATCGTGAAGAAAATTCCGTACAATCGTTTTCTGAAGTCTCATCCTTTGTGGATAACCCTGTATGTGCATGAAGGTCTGAGTAAAGTACCATGGTATCGGTTAGTGCATAATGAATGAGTATGAACGTGGGACACTGTAGACTAACCGGAAATTAGCAATTTATCACGTGGAGATTTCATCTAAACCAAACCAAACCAAGATTTCACTATCAACAGAAGGGGGATTTGATATAATAATTGACCAATCAAGATTTACATTATTTTCATTTCAAACGGATTAAAAAGAATGAATGAGAGTGCAAAATGTAAAGTTAAAATATCAATTTTCAGTATAGAAAACTGAAAATTCTTCAAATAAAAGTTTGGACGGGTATATTATGACAGTGATGCTCTTTTTATGAATAAATGAATAGAAGAACGGCACAAACTGTAAATATATCGTCTTATTCTTAGATCTAACATTTTTGCATACGCTGTAAACTGTAAATCAGTTTCTAGTTTTGTATTAGTTAAAGATGCGTACAGCGCTGCGTAACAAATCATCAAATAGAAAAATATGTCATCAATTAAGGGACTATACAGGGTTTACAATAATGTATTGAACAAGTAAACAAGGTCTTCAATCAGAATAAATGAATAAGGATTATCTGCATTTATCCATGTTTGTTCTTGATTATAGTGACACCCCAGGGCCCAGTGAGAATAAGAAAACTGTGGAATAGAAAAACTCTGATTTCAAATATAAGTCCAATGAACATGAGATACAGCAGCAATTGAGCAGTGTGAACAGATCCATTTAAAAAAAAACAAGTGATTTTAAAATTACTCGTAAAGCTTTTTCTTTGTGACAACATCATAAACGGTTAATTATAACAATAATGTCGTCTTCCTATTCCACAGTTTTATGGTTTTTACTGTATGTACATAAATTTGGAACCCCCCCCCCCCACCAGCCTTTTCAGAGTTAAACACAATCACTAATTTAAAATGCATAATTATGGTGAACCAAAAGAGCTAACTAAACATCTTTGTTATATTGAAATATCACATTTTTTATGAAAAACCCGTTTTTTAAAGATTATAGTCAAGATTTTTTTTAATTTTTATTAAAATACAAAATTATCATTAACAAATAAGAATATCATTTTACGCGAAATTATTAACTTATCAGCTGATTTCCAAAATATATATAAATATATCAGCTGATTTCCAAATCAGAATCTCTGAAATCTTCATATCAAGGGCTACATAAATATATATCAGCTGTTTTTACAATTCAGAATCTTGGAGACCTTCATATGAGGGTCTACATAAATATATCAGCAGATTTTCAGAATCTGAATACAGGAAAGTATTATGGGCATATCAGCTGATTTTCCTAATCAGAATCCAGGAAATTTTTATATTAAAGGGCTGTATAAACATATCAGCTGATTTTCCAAATCAGAATATCGGAAATCTTCATATCAAGGGCTACATAAACATATCAGTATGCTGAGCTGGGAACTTTTTTTAATCTTGAGATTAAATAAGGCTTGTTCTCTTCTTGTTATTAATCTCCAGATTAATTAACAGATCGGGATTAAAGATATACCATTCTAAAGTTTAAACCTAAGGTTACATTAAAGAAAGAGAAGAGACCCGGCCGGTCTCAATATTTGATGCATTATTTTGATAACTGTGTGTTTCGCTGAGGGTTTGACTTACTTGGCAGTGATGGCAAGATGGGGTTGATCTGATAACATATATGCCACTGAATACAAGAGATATATAATGAATTATATATATATATATAAATATATAATAATTTATACTCCAGAACAGGGCGGCTTCCTTTGCCAAGATGCATTGATAATATGAACATTGAATATGGTGGGGGGATAGGGGGGAAGAGTAGGGGAAAGGGGGTAAGAATGGAAGGTGTGGAGGGGGGGGGAGTAGAATGTGGAAGTGGCTGAAGTAATTGTTTGCGTAACTATTTTCAAATGTTCGCGTAAATTACGTTTTAGAACAAAAAGTATAAAGTCAATTGCAAAAGTAAAAACAAGAGAAGATAAAGAAATGTGACAGCTTGTGCTGTATGAAAAAAGGATTCACAATAGATAAATAAACGAGAGGAGAAGTAAGGGATGGAATTTTGTAAGAAATAAGAAGGAAATGAGATAAAGATAACCATGGATATTAAGATAAAGTTGGCAACAGCTTGCAAGATAATGTCTTGATTTGGGAGAAAGAATAGGAGACCTAACACAAAGGCTAGGAGGGGGTAGGGATGGAATAGGGGGTCGGGAGAGGATGGTTCTAGCAATATGTTTTTATGTGTTTAGGAAGATGATACAGTTTAGATAAAATAAATATCTACACAAAGAAGAAAATATAAACCTTGAAAATATCTCCCACTGCAAACCAAGATATGAAAGCCTTCACCCGAAATTAGCAGAATTTTGCCTTTTAAGCTTAAGATAGAAATAAGCACATCACATTCTTAAAATGTATATGTCTAGGACTACAAAAAAAGTATAAGTGAGTTGGTGGGGAATACTAAGGTTAATAAGGCTTTGCAATGCTCATTAGACTTTTTAAAGTTATATTAATTCTAAAAGTCGCTTGCTATTTCGGAGTTCTGTGGTTAATACTGAATGTTTTCAAGTAAGAAAAGGGCCGAAATGTAAAAAAAATTTCTTTTCGCAAAATCATTATCTACTTAATCCTTACATTTATTTCGATTAGAAAGAAATGAGTTTTTGCCACACACTCTGATTTTCTAATTCCTTTATATCTTTGGACCCCGATCGGGTAAACCTTAGACATTTCAAACTATTAATTCTGTTAGATCCAATAGCCCAAGTTTGAAATATTAAAGGTTTATACCTTCAGGTTGCAAAGATATGGGGATTAGCAAATTTGAGTTTGTGGCAAAACTCATTTCCTTTATGATTTTTTCCTAATTCAACGTAAAACGGAATTTTCCTGAAAAAGCTTTCTTGAATTAGTTTAACATATTG